AAAAACTTTTTGTTTACTTAATCAAAGCCTTTAAATTCTCCTTTAAATTCTTTTTCTGTCGAGTGATGGAGGCAGCAAAGCTCTTTTGAAGTTTGGAGACTTCCTCTAACTTCTGCAGGTAAAGCCGATGGGTCTCCTGGACACAGAAATGCTTTATTTAGTGAAGGTCTATCGTTTTATGGACATTCAGAACAAATTCAGAAAATCATTTACCTGAAGCTGCTGCAGTTCTTTCTCCTGAAACTTCCATTCTTGAAGGGCTTTTGCAAGTGCTGTCGACATGTAGAACTTTATCAGTTACAGCTATTCTAACCAGGTTCTTCTTTCTTAGATTACAAGGCAAATTCAGTCAAAAACCAACTGTGATGGAAACACAGCAATGTCTTAAATGCTGATTTCTATGCTGTATTTAAAGAGAGCTTCGGTTTAGAAGCATCTCAATTGACAATCTTTGTCGTATATCTGATTTCTTGGCGATTGCAATATAGGCTTGAACTTTGTAGTGAACTTTGACAGACCAAATTGACTGACCTTTGACACTTGGTTCAGTTGCTTGCAATATATAGGAAGGGCTACATATTTAGTGAATATGTGTCAACATACTGAATTCTGATCTATGGAAGAAAAAAAAGTTGAATTGTGCTGATTACAGACATTATATTGCATATCTAAATAGGTTATTACTTTAGAGAACAGAGTCAGGTCATTCATGCTGAAGTCTCATGCCTTGGTTGCATAATCCAATAATCCCTCATAAATTCCACTGATGTAAAAGAACACTTGAACGGCTGAAAAAATTAGATCTTGAACTTTAGTCGATAGATAACACCTGTCACGTTACATCACACCAGCATTCAAGTGAAATATAGAGAATTTTGTTTTAACATCTTTAACTGAGTATCATTTCCATTTCACTGTCATTTAAATTCATTTGGTGTCCCATTACCACTGATGTAAAAGAACACTTTAACGGCTGAAAAAATTAGATCTTGAACTTTAGTCGATAGATAACACCTGTCACCTTACATCACACCAGCATTCAAGTGAAATATAGAGAATTTTGTTTTAACATCTTTAACTGAGTATCATTTCCATTTCACTGTCATTTAAATTCATTTGGTGTCCCATTAATTTATTTAGCTTTTAAAACATTAGAGACGTATGAGATACCTATTAGATGTCACATAAAATGTTAAATTATATCACAAAAACTAACATTAGTTTTTAAACATTTTTTATTACATTTACTGACAATTTTGATGTTTTCTATTTAATGCTAGAAAATTACAAAACCACACAAATAAGGGTATTTTATTTAGACATTGTAGACATTTGATGACAGACACACATACCAGCTTGGTTAGTTTATTCAACAACTGCGCGCTCTCCCTTCAACATGGGACTCGCTGACGTCACTTCCTCGGAAGTCCGTGACTTAAGCTGTGTCCCAATTCAAAGACCGCATCCTTCGGAGGACGGGTCCTTCGAAGGATGCGGCCAACACGGCCTTCGAAGGACGCTCCGAGTCTAGCCTTTGCAGAATTTCCTGATTGCGCCAACAGGTGTTCCCGATTAATGCTCCTGTCACGTGGCAACGGTGCGAGAAGAGAGATGCCATCCTGAGATTTGTTAATGAAACCTGAGCCTGAATTGTTAGTGAGCCTGAATTGTTAGTTTTTTACTGTATTTATTATACCTTATACTGGAGGAAATGTTGGTGATGGTTCACCCCCGGCACCGCCAGGTGGTGTATTTCAGGCTTAGCCAAGACCATGCAGGTAACTTAGGGATCCCAAGTTCAGAAAAGTAGGCCTATATATATAAAAGTGTTTGACACTTTTTTTTATTTGTCATTTTGTGTTTCAAGAATGAGGTCCAAGGTTAAGAAGCTATTAGTTATTTAAATGTAAAATGTTTTTTTCTCTATTTTGCAATAGTAAAAGACAGCTTCCCTTATTGATCACGTCTCAGGTAGATTGCATGTTTTCCTGCGCGGCTGGATGTTGGACTCGTGAAAAATAATCACGTTGTTTGTATTTGCCAAAACTGATTTACCGAAGTCAAAACAGAGACTGAATTAGCGTTATTGCGAGCGCCGCTTGCTGTGAAGCGGGAGCGACCAGCCGGCAGAGGATGTTAGGACAGTGGAAATATGCACTCAAACACTCTGGAGACCATCCCAGATGATATCCCACTGGCAGAGCCCGTACCAGGCTTTCTATTGTGGCAGCCCATCAAGACCCAGCAGCACCACCTCATTTGAATGAAAGTGTACATAATTTTTTTTCTCTCAATGTTATGTATTGTTAATTTAATTTTTGTTGTTTTTTCTGATGTTGAATTGAAGCAAATATCTGTCATTTAGAAATTATAAGTTGCTTTGCAAAAATAAGCAATGTTTATAATTATTTCTTGTCTTTTATTTACAAGTTTATTTCCTGATTGCGCCAACAGGTGTTCCCGATTAATGCTCCTGTCGCATGGCAACGGTGCGAGAAGAGAGATGCCATCCTGAGATTTGTTAATGAAACCTGAGCCTGAATTGTTAGTGAGCCTGAATTGTTAGTTTTTTACTGTATTTATTATACCTTATACTGGAGGAAATGTGTTTGACACTTTTTTTTATTTGTCATTTTGTGTTTCAAGAATGAGGTCCAAGGTTAAGAAGCTATTAGTTATTTAAATGTAAAATGTTTTTTTCTCTATTTTGCAATAGTAAAAGACAGCTTCCCTTATTGATCACGTCTCAGGTAGATTGCATGTTTTCCTGCGCGGCTGGATGTTGGACTCGTGAAAAATAATCACGTTGTTTGTATTTGCCAAAACTGATTTACCGAAGTCAAAACACAGACTGAATTAGCGTTATTGAGAGCGCCGCTTGCTGTGAAGCGGGAGCGACCAGCCGGCAGAGGATGTTAGGACAGTGGAAATATGCACTCAAACACTCTGGAGACCATCCCAGATGATATCCCACTGGCAGAGCCCGTACCAGGCTTTCTATTGTGGCAGCCCATCCAGATCCAGCAGCACCACCTCATCTGAATGAAAGTGTACATAATTTTTTTCTCTCAGTCTTATGTATTGTTCATTTAATTTTTGTTGTTTTTTCTGATGTTGAATTGAAGCAAATTTCTGTCATTTAGAAATTATAAGTTGCTTTGCAAAAATAAACAATGTTTATAATTATTTCTTGTCTTTTATTTACAAGTTTCAACTTATAATACAAAAATAAAACAAACAATGCACAGAAATTACTTCATTTACAAATAACTAATCAAATTACAAAAGTAATGTACAGAACAACTTTCATTTCTTTTTTTAAGTTTCCCAGCAGCCCCATTTTCTCCAGAACTGTCCTAAAACAAGACAAAAGGAAAGACTTATGAAAATTATTAAGACAGGACTGCAAAATATGACACAGCAGGACATGCATACAAAATACTCCAGAAATCATATTTCTGGATCATCAAGTTTGCTTAGAAAGTTTGCGGACATAACTTGCATGACAAGGCTAAAATAATAACAACAATGATAATAATAATAAAATAAAAATAAAAATACAAGTGAAAAAAAAATACAAGCTATTTCAGTACATTCAAACACAATACATTTATAGAACTAAGTGTATTTGTCGGCCGCCACAGAACCGTCACCCACTTTGTTTGAATAAAAACCCCGTCTTCACTGGCGCTATGAATTCTGGGATAGGGTAGGCTGCGAAGGATCCATCGGATGTATCCTTCATTTGCCGGAGAAACGGAGGACGCATTTGAAGTCGCGTTCGAATTGCGGCAGCCTTCGTCGCGCCGCGGTGACGCAATCGGCCTTCAAATGCAGCCTTCGTAGGACGCGGTGTTTGAATTGGGACAGTCTTCGTCGCGCTGCCGTGACGTAATCGGCCTTCAAATTGGTCCTTCGAAGGACGTAGCCTATGAATTGGGACACAGCTTTAAAGTCCGCGTGAACCGGAAGTTGCTGCCGACTTTATTTCAGTGTAGTGACGTATTTCCAGCTGAAACGGAATATTGAATAGAGGGCATGGTTTTATGTTTGCGCTCCTCCTCTCTGTCTCTCACTCATATCAAACTAACAGTTGGAGGGGTGTGTTTAAGGATATTCTGCCCAAGCCGTCAAACTGACGTCATCAGAAAAGGAATGCCATTCCAGAGCGGAAGTAAATGTTCAGATTTTGATTAAAGATTACCAAGACAAACAATTTTTTTCAGAGGATTAACTTGCACGGATTAATTGTTTACATCAAGACTAGCAATGTGCGCTAGTAAAGTAAATAAAGTAAATTTTGATTTCATGCGGACTTTAAAGAAACATTCCACACATTCCACATAACTATACAGACATGAAAAGATTAAACAACATTTTAAAAAATTCACCCAATAATAAAAATGGTCATCATTTACTCTCTCTCAAGATGAATGAGTTTCCTGTTGAACACAAAAGAAAAATGTTTGAAGATTGTTTGTAAGCAAACAGTTGACGGTAGCCATCAACTTCCATAGTATTTTTTTCCATATTTGCATAATACTTTTCTTCCATTCATAAGTCAATGGCTACCATCAACTGTTTGCTTACAAACAATCTTCAAAATATCTTCTTTTGAGTTCAACAGAATAAAGAACCAGGTTTGGAACAACTTGAGTGTCAGTAGGCCTAGATAATGCCAGAATTTTCATTTTTGGGTGAACTATCCCTTTAATTTTCTTTCACTGGCCCTTTGTTGTAAAGGAAACTATGGAAGCCCGTTTCCGCCACTGAATAAAAAATAAAAAAGGTTATTGCGACTTTTTATCTCTCAGTGGCGGAAACGGGCTTCCATAGGGAAACAGTTTGTTTAAAGCGGAATGGATCTGACACGAAGAACTTTTATTTGTCCATGAGCATCCTCTTGCGTTTACTCGCGTCATCAGACGCTTGTAGTGCGCATGCGCGTTCCTGCTACTGTAGTATTATTACTGACTCGACTGCGCAGGGGGGGGTGGCCTGTCAAGAAACACTGGACTGCAAGCCCATGGGTGGGTTAACAGAGAAATGCATGACGGTGCAAATAAAGAAGGATCTAATGTGACTGACACTACATGCTCTGCCTTCAAGCTTCACTCGGCTTTCTTCTGATCGCTGTTCAAGCGCGGAAGCTGGCCAGCGGTGCTGGATGATAACCGGCCGGTGCGTTGACTTCTGCAGAGACTGTCGCGTTTCACGTCACTTTTCAATGAATTGTAGTTATATAAGTGGCTTTACAGGACTGACTTGCTTGTCCGACTGATAAACGTAAAAATGAGCGCCGCTGTTTATGTTTTATCTACGGTTACCGGATATGTGCTCACGTCGGCGTTACTGCTCAAGTGGCCGTCTCTTCTGCATCGGCGAAAGAAAGAAGCCTTCCGTAGCAGACACATCTCACACCGCGGCGGTGAGTGACAAGTTACTGACAAACGCTGCTTTATCAAGTCTACAGCTGTCCGAGGCTTTTCATCGTTTATCCAATCACTCGTTTTCCTTGTATTCCAATAAGACCTAGTGAGCTGTGATGTACAAAATGCTCACTTGGTAGGAAGCTCACTAGGTTTTGAGACACAGTCAGTGAATGAATCTTACAGGGTTACATTCATAACATTGTTGACTGTAGCCTTATAGTCATGCACTTAGAACATTTTTGTCTTGTCTATGTAATGGAAAGCCTGTTTTTATCTTTAAGTCATATCTCATAGTACCTTCATGTTGGGCCAGTGTTGGCAGAGTTCATAATTGACTGTATTGACTACACACTGGAGTGTGGACTGTGAACCCTGGAATACTACAGAAACTACATGCAGTCTGAACATAAACACCACTTGGAAGTTATTTAGTTGATTAACAAAAGCAAATACCAAGCACTGCTATTATTGTTTTTCTTCATCTCCAGGAGCTGGTGAGAACTTGGAGAACACAATGGCAGCCTTCAGGCAGTGAGTTTCTCAGTTGGCGGCGATTAATTGCTTGAATTTGCACTGATGAGTATGACTGTACTAAAACCTAACATGCTTAGTTAACTTTGTATACTTAATCTTGAAGAATTCAGAAGCATCTGAAGTGTTTCTTCATCATTCATCCAAGTGGCATTATGAGTTGATGACAAAATTGTGTTTTTACGAGGATCAGGGCTGTCCAAAAAGCATCGTAAGCCTAAGTTGATCGTAGAACACTTGGTTTCAATGGGTCTACGATGTACTTAAGCTTACGATGCTTTTGGGAAACGCAGCCCTGGATGAAAAGCTTCATGTTCATGATTTATGAACAGATGCTTCCTTAACCCATCTGTTGTACATTTTCTTCTTCCTCAGTGCTGTTCAATTGGGCACTGACTTGTTGGAGCTGGACTGTCATTTGACCAAGGATGAGCAGGTGGTGGTGTTGCACGATTCCAACCTGAAGCGGTCGACTGGAATTAATGCATACATTTCAGATGTGGCTTATGCTGTGAGTAGAGAAACTTCAAACATCCTCTCGCAGTCCAAATGTTTCAAGGCTTGACTAATTTGTAGTAGGCCTTAAACTCTTAATGTCAGCATGTAAATATATGCTGTATTCTGAAAGTGTTTGTGTGTTTGTCTTCTTAGGATCTTCCACCTTACCTTTGTAAGCTTGGGGTGTCTTTCAAACGAGGTGAGTGTTCAGTCCAAGTAATGCTCAACAAATCTGAAGGTATAATTAAGCAGATTCCCAATGTGTCTGTAGTGTTGCTAATATGCTACAGTGAAGTAGAAAACTGAGACCACCTTAAAAATCTGGGATTGAAAATCTAAACTGAAAAAAATGGCTTCGCTTAGAAATAGCTAGTAAATTTGATGAATAATTACAAAGAAATAACAAATTGAATTAATCATTAAATTTGAAGTAAAAAGACTGAAATAGTATTTTCTTGTAAAATGTACTCCAATAATTTTTATTTAAAATTCGTTTAAATTAAAAAAAAATTTTAAATCATTTTATAGTGTATTTGAATCCTGGAAACAAAGTAGTAGTATTAAAATAAATACAGTAAATAAATAAATAAATTATATGTAAATGTCATAATGCAAAATGAATAAGAAAACAATTTTTCTGATCCATTTCTTTGTCACAAATCAAATGAAAGTAAATTTGTAACGTTGATCATGTGAACTCCTTTGTACAGATGGCCCCATTATAGCACTTCTATTATGAAATTCATTTTTTTTCTACTTTTCGGTTCATATTTTCACTCAAATTTCAGTTCATCTTTTTACTCAATTGAAATCCAAAACAGATGCACAGATGCACACGTTTCAGATATGTTTTGTATACATTTAATGGTAACTAAGACATGCATGTCCAACTATTACATTATTCCTGATTTGTTTCAGAGTGCTACTGTGAAGGAGGAGATGACAAACGCATCCCTCTGCTGAGAGACGTGTTTGAAGCTTTTCCAAACACCCCTATAAACATCGACATCAAGGTCAACAATGACACTCTCATCAAGAAGGTGTGTGGGCCCCTGCTGTCCCACTCATATTTCATTTCCTCGAATCCTCTGTCTGTGCAGCTGCTTGTCACCACTAAAATTAATCAGGTTGGTGAGACGAGTTCACCATAAGCAAAATAGTGTTTTACTTTTTTTCTGTCAGGTGTCCGAGCTGATTGTGCGATACAACAGGGAGCATCTGACCGTCTGGGGAAACTCCAGCAACGAAGTCATTAAGAAATGTTACAAAGAGGTAATACACTGGTTATTAGTAAACAACATAACTGAACAATAAAGTATGCAAAATGTCAATATCTGACGTATTTCTATTTGTTTTGTAGAACCCACAAATCCCAATCTTGTTCAGTTTGCCCAGAGTGCTGCTGTTACTCGGTCTTTTCTACACAGGCCTCCTGCCCTTCGTCCCGCTTAAGGAACAATTCCTGGAGATTCCCATGCCTTCAATCATTTCCAAGTGAGGAAGATATGCATTTTAGTCATGCATACACTATATTTCCAAAAGTATTGGGACACCCCTTTCTAATGAACAGGTTTGACTACTTTATTAATTTCCATGAGTACAAACCTTAAAGGGTTAGTTCATCCAAAAATTAAAATTAGGCTGTGTTTTACTCACCCCCGATGCATCCTAGGTGTATACGACTTTCTTCTTTCAGACGAATCCAGTCGGAGTTATATTAAAAATTGTCTTTGATCTTTCAAGCTCTATCGTTGCACTCAGCGGGTGTTGCAGTGCTTCGGTTCAAAAGACGTGAAATAAAAAGCACCCTTCCATAAAAAAACGTGTCTCACACGGCTCCGGGGGGTGAACAAAGGCCTCCTGTAGCGAATCGATGCGTTTTTGTAAGAAAAATATCCATATTCAAAACGTAATAAAGCAGACTGGGGAGCAGTTGGGGGTTTGGTGCCTTGCTCAAGGGTCTCACCTCAGTCGTGGTATTGAAGGTGGAGAGAGCGCTGGTTATTCACTACCTCCACCCACAATCCCTGCTGGACCTGAGACTCGAACCCACGACCTTTGGGTTACAAGTCCGACTCTATCCATTAGGCCATGACTGCCCTAAAGGTTGCTATAAAATTAGAAGTACATAATTCCCTAGGATATCATTATATGCTTTAACATTAAGATTTGTACTCATGGATATTACTAAAGTAGTCAAACCTGTTCATTAGAAGGGGGTGTCCCAATACTTTTGGCAATATAGTGTACATGCTCCTATAGTTCCTTTTCTAGTATTTAAAAAAAATCTTTAGATTTGGTCCTTCGTACATTCAGGCTCAGCAGACATTGTATGCTCACAAAACGAGTGCTTTGCTAGACATTTTTTGTTGGAAATCTGAGAAGTGATAAAGATTTGGTTTCTCGTAGACTCAAAGATCCTGAGCGTCAGACACAGAGTCAGCGTTTCATAACATGGCTGGCAGACACGTAAGTTTATGTGCACTCTGGCCTCAATAAACCTTTTACCTAAATATTTACTTAACACGTTTTATATGTTTCTTATTGGAAAGTACAGGTGCATCTCAATAAATTAGAATGTCATGGAAAAATTCATTTATTTCAGTAATTCAACTCAAATTGTGAAACTCGTGTATTAAATAAATTCAATGTACATTTTGAAGGCTCAGGAAACCTTTGCAGGTCTTTTGAGTTGATTAGCTGATTGGCATGTCACCATATTCTAATTTGTTGAGATAGTGAATTGGTGGGTTTTTGTTAAATGTGAGCCAAAATCATCACAATTAAAAGAACCAAAGACTTAAACTACTTAAGTCTGTGTGCATTGAATTTATTTAATACACGAGTTTCACAATTTGAGTTGAATTACTGAAATGAACTTTTCCACGACATTCTAATTTATTGAGATGCACCTGTAGTTAACTGCCTTCTTTAGAGTTTTTGCACATTCTGGTCTTAGTGATGAAAATAATTACAAGCATAAAGAAAAGCTTAAACTTAGCCATGTTACTCTAATACTTGCTAGAGTCGTAAATATGCTAGAATTTCGATATGAATGTATTTTCAGGCTCCTCATGAGAAAAGCATTATTCGATCATTTGACGAGCAGAGGAATACAGGTGAGTGCTAATCTCCAAATGAGATTTAGGTCATACACCACTTGTTCTTTACGCTTAAAGCATTGCTTTGAGTGCTGTGATGTGCATGAGCAGATGGCAGGAGCTTTGAATGGAATTTCGCTCTTGACTGGAACGTCATCATGGGACTTTTCCACTGGTCTTTGTTTTTTCCTTTCCAACCGCAGGTGTATGTCTGGGTGTTGAACGACGAGGAAGACTTTAAACGTGCCTTTGACCTTGGGGCTACAGGGATTATGACAGACTATCCCACCAAGCTAAAAGAGTTCATGGAGAAAAACAACTACACTCTTAAATAAGACTTGTCAGCCAAAGTAAACAATCAATTTGCTTTTCCACTGATCTTTGGCTTCTAAATGGGCCTTTTAATTACCCAACATTCTTTGATGTTTATGTCTATGAGTGTAGAAGTGGCAGCTATCAGTTCTGCATACATCTGCGATCAGCGTCGGAGCCATTTTAAACCAAACAGGTTGTCATGAAATACTTCTGTTGCTTTAAGTTCATAGCAATACATGTTATCCATAAAAAGCAGGAGGATTCATAAGAGGCTGAGGTTATGATGTTGGGATGGTGTCATGATCATCATGACATTTCTGTGAAGTTTTCTCTACAGGCACTTTCATTGTTATTACAATGTGAGGATGTAAATCCCACAGGTACTTGCTGTGCATCAGTTTCTGCAATAACACTGAACTCACTAAAGAGTCAATTGTCTAAATTTCGAGACCGAAACTACTGAAGTTTTTCCAGGGCACTAAAAATAAATACTAGTTTCAGGGGTGTACTATGGGATTGTTGAGAGACCAATAATCAGAAGGCATTATATATTATTGTTTACTCTGTTTGATTTGACGTGTATATTTTGTTTTTGTAAATTTGTTTCTTTTGACAATAAGAGATTGTCACTTTTGAGATAAGTTGTGGCTGAAAAGATGCCTCACTATTGCTTGAAGTGTTAAGTGTGGTTTAATATATATGACCACCAGTCAGAAGTTTTGACACACCAACTCAGTCTTCATTGTTACTATGTCAACATTACAATGTATAATATTAAAGAAAGTATGGTAATTATGTACCATTTAAAAAATTTTATACATGTGAAAACTCATTTGAGTTGCTTCAAAACTTGTTTCTGCTTTCATTTAATATATACTCCAACTCATGATAATAATAATACAATAAATAACAGGTAAAATTAGTAAACAATTTCATGCATAGGGAAACTTAATATTTGTCTTTAAAAGCATCTTCATGTATTCAAGCAATAGCCTTTAGGACAGAAGGTTTTGTTATCATGAAAAACAATGTCAGTCAAGTTTGTCCAAGCTTGACTGGTTGTGTATATTATACACAGATGAAAGAAGTTGTGTTTGGAGTGTAACAAGGGTCATAATCAAGTGTAGTGTATAGTGTTCATGTGACATTTGAATGTACTTTTGCTAAAACAGGAAAAGTTTTTATTTTTAAATTGCTGGTGGTTTTGCTGTATTGAAAGAGAACAGTAAACAGAAACATTTTCTCACTCTTTTAAAGAATGCATTCAAAACTGACATGACAGTAACTCGCTCCTGAACAGAACGAATCTTAAGACTTTTAGATAATCAAGCATTTGTGGAGTTCAAATGTTTCCCTCTTTTGTGAAGTGTATACAGATACAGTAACTCTTAGCTTTGTGCTGTGTTTAATTTTCTGGTTCATATTTTCTCCAAGCCACTTTCATTGGTTGTGTATGAATTCAGTGCACTGCTTTAGTTGTAAATGATAGTACTGTAATTCAAAGATTAGTTATTATAGATAATATTTGGTATCAGAAGCACAGTTCTGTTTGGATTTGTGAATATACTGCCATTAAATATATTTTATAAGTGAATTTAAACAGACTATGTCTTGCCTTAGTGTTATTATGGGCTCCCATAAAACTCTTTTGGGACTGTGGACTTTTACAGTATCTCTTAATGCACACTTTCCAAATTGTCACTAGTTTAATGTTTCCACAGAGTATACAAATGGATACAAATGTGTTACTTTAAAAATCATCCCGATACAGACCATAACTGGAAAAAAAACGCATTTTGACCAGAAGGGGGCGCTCTATGATAACTAAAACTTGCTTCAACTAACCAACCAAACACGTATGAAATATAAGCACTGTTTGTGAAAGTATCATATCACTTTACACATACACTACGACATTACATAATATAAATACTGTATGCAACATGAAAACGTCTTCAACCGTACATTTAACTACTTGTCATAGATTATGCTGTATGCCTTGCTGCTATTTCCTAATGAGTTTAGTGTTTAAGTGTTGAAGTAGTACTTCAAGGTGTTTTAAAAAGTTTAAAATGAAGAATATGCTTACATAGTTGTATTTGGTAGGACCTTGAAACGATTTCATCAAAGAATGAACACGAAGCAGCTGTACCTTCAACCCCAAAGTGAAATATATACTAAACGAATAAATTAGATTTTGACGACAAGTTCTGCCTAAACTCTGCTGAGATACCAGCCTAAATAATGATTGGTTGATTTTTTTTCACGTTCTGTCCAATCAGCGTAGTGTTGCTATGCCTCTGCGCCTCAGTGATTGGTGGAAGCAGTTGCCATTCGCGTTGTATGAGATGTACAGCGTGATCGTGCCCAGACTAAACTTGGTTTACATGCACCACGTCCACACTGACCGCGAGAGAAGCGGGAGAGGGAATTTGTCGTGATAGGAATGCACACGCAAAGTTTACTGTGAATCTTGATTTACTTTCACGGAAGAGGAGCGCGTGCCACTATCTCACCACCTCGATTTCTTCTTTTCAAAGGTAAATGCTTGACATTTTAACGAGTTGTTAAATATGAAAGTTTGGTATAGTCATCTGCTTTATGCAATCATGTTAACTGATATTGACAGTGAGCTGTGTAAGAGCATCAGGTTATGATGGCAGTTTTGCATTATAGTAGTGCTGGAGATGCTGGATGGTGTGATGTGCTGCAGGTCCGCAGTGGTGCTGCTGATGCTTGTTTATCTAACACCTCCACTATCACATCCACCAGCAGCATCAGCATCACTGCAGCAACAGCAGTGGCACATGTATCATCTCTGACAGTGATCTCCTTAATCGTTGTGTCTGCATGACATGAACGCGCTATCAGTCATAAATTAAGACATTTCTGCATTTAGGGCTGCATTGGTGTGCACTTTTTCCAGTCTGCGTCATGTCTGAGTTCTCCTGGAAATAAACGTTGCAGACCTACTTGCAATTTTATATATATTAAAAACATAATATTTAATAGACTATTTTACAGACATTTAACATTCAGTAACATTCAATATTAGAATATGTTATACAATTTTATAGAATATTCAGCATTAAATGGATTATTTAAAAGAACTGAATACAATTGAATATATTTAGAACATTTTGAAATAAAATTGCAATAGAATATTCAGCATGCACAAAATTGATTATTTAATGGAGTAGAATAACCAAAATATCTGGTATTTAGAATTTTTGATTGAATGTTATCTAATATTTAATACTCATAAAAAAACATTCAATAGAATATTTAGTATAACTGACCCACATCACTATAACACTACAATTCATGACCACACCTAACACAGATTTTGCACTTTTCATGGACTTTTTGACTTTTTATTATATTAAAATAAATATAAAATATTTTATAATATAACATATTATATTGGCTGTCTTTCAAAACCTTGTAAGTTCTCTAACTAGACAGCATTGATGCCTGGGTTTGAATTCATATTACTTTAATGACAGTTATACTGCAGCATTGAGCAGTAGGTTGAGTTATCAACCTGTGAAGTTGTGATATTGTGATGTGATGATCGCATTTCAACAAGTCTCACATTTTACTGCCTTTTTTAGTGGGAATTCGCTCTGGTAATGTTGTATTAGGCTCAAAAATTCATATTAAATGTTGTTTATGGCTCTGTTGTCAGGGGTCAAATTTGAAAGCATGCTTGGGCTGCCATGAGGACACAGTGTCAGTAGTGCAGTGTGGCTGAAATCCAGCCCCACATACTGTCAGTATGTGTCAGTATGCTGTCAGTACATGAGGTTTAGTACAGCATAGCACTCAAACAGAGAGTTATTACATAAAACAATAATAAGAATTGATTACTGTTTTATATTCAACAAGCTCTCTCGTTCTTAAACGATCGAATTCGTAGAGCTTAAATGCTGACAAGTAATTTCTGAAATGCTGTCAAATTCAATCCAGTCTGCAGAGATTACGTTTTTCAATAGTATTTCCTGCAGGTCTTAAGCTATGGTATTATACTGTGACACTCTGTGCATAATAAACTGCATTTATGAATGCAAATACAAGCCATCAGAAAAGGATAATTACAAAAAGCATAACATTTTAATTTTCATGACCCACTCAGGAAATTACAGGGGCTGTATAATTATTTTGCTATGACGTAACATAGGGGGGGTTATACAAAAAGTATGTTTGACTACTTCTGTCAAAATTTTGGAGTATACATTTGACAAACACTTTACCATCGCATTAAGCCACAGGAGAGTTGTGACTGGTAGCTGGTAGGTCATGTGACTGATAAAATGACGGAAAATGTATGTCTGGACTTCATTCGTGCTACTCATATTTGTACTATATAGAACGTTTTTTTAATGGTTGTAAAGTAAGTTTTAAACCTAACGTAGTACCTGCTAGCTAGACAACATGTGACTTTGGACACAGCTTGTGTCTAAAGAGCTAGTTTGACCCAGGGTTGCCAGGTCTGTGAAACAAAATCAGCATAATTGCTATTCAACCCTCCGTTGGTGGTCTTCTCCATTGAAATCACATTCCGAGCGGTCCTCCTCTGTCTACATAGCTTTCAGGATGATAGGGGAGAGATCGCTTTAAAGTGGACTAAAAAAAACAGTTCACGGCAACAGTGTAAAAATAGCTCAGTTCCGTGGTAAAACTGTAGACATGGCAACCCTGGTTTGACCAACTAGCAGTTAGTCAAGGCAAAAGGTAATCAGTCTTACTTTTAGGATTCAAATTAGACCAAAATGCTTTTTTATGTAACTGACATTAAAAAAAGCTATGACCATTCTTAAAGAAAAATAGTAGAGGACTAACTTGTCTAACGACAGGAACTCTACGAAAGGAAAGAGCTATATAAAATTTATTTAAAATAATGTTGCTCCATGGAAAAAATAACAGCATATGGGTCTACAATGATGTGAGAATTAATAAATTGTGACCAATTTCTTTTCATTTATGGGTGAATTATTCCTTTAAAGAGAATACTTTTTGTACGCAAAGAAAACAAAAATAACAACTTTATTCAACAATTGACGACATGGGGGTAAGTGAAAATGTTCATTTTGGGGTGGAGTAACCCTTTAATGCTCTAATGTTCTTTAGTAGTGTTTGTACTATGTTGAGCATTGCAAACCTGAAAAAACACTCAGAACAGCTTAGATCTGCTTAGAATCTGACTGAATCTTTTGTTTAAATTAGTTCATGCATAAATGAAATTATGTCATAATTTACTTGCCCTTATGTTGTTCGTTCTAAACCTGTATGACTTTCTTTATTCAGTGGAAGTGATTTAACTTCAAAATATCTCCTTTTATGTTCCATAAAAGAAATAAAGTACAAGTTTGGAATGACATGATGACAGCATTTCCATTTTGGTGTGAACGATCCCTAAAAACACTTGATAAAATTACTATAAAGCATCTGATAAGCTATGTTGCTTTCCATCCAGCTTGTGTGCAGCTTTATGATCTGTGGCACAGTTTATGTATTGGTTCAGTGATCAGTATTTGATCAGCATTCATGGATTGGATCAGAGCTCATCTGATGTGTTTTTGTCTGCATGATGAAGCCATACCGAGACTCTCTCGCTTCACTTTTATCGATCTGCCTGTTGTGGGAATACAAAACCTGGATTCAATTTGCAGCTGCGTGAATAAAGAGGAATACAAACTCAAAATCCCAAGCAAAGACATGAATAGGTTGGAAAAATCATTCGAGGGCACTAAAAGGTGGATTTGATCATCGTTTCTTTCAGCATGGAGTCTCAGAGGATAGTTTACATCTACTGATAACCTGATTCCACTTTTACTGTAATTTATTGATATTTTCATACAAAACAGCTTACATTTCAGTTTAAATAATATTGAAACGGAACCAGTAT